CATTGTTCCTGTAATATTTTTGTAGAGAAAGGAAGAATAGGGGCGAGAGAAAAACAAAATGCTGAAGAGGGCAAGAATGCTTCTTTTTATAGAATAATGATGATGATGATGATTGATGATGATGATGAATAATGAGTATTATTACTTTAATTCATTCACTTTTCCTACACATTTTGGCTCTTCAACCAGACAGGAGGATATTCTTTCAGAATTATCCTCTGAAGAAATTCAGATTGCCAATGGTTGCTTGTGTTTCTGATGGTGATGAGGAATGGGGTGACTAGAAAGGCCTGATCTTGATCACCCCATTATTGAAGTCCAGAAATAATGGAGGCTGTGAAGGCTAGGACTATAACAGAGTTTAAAGAGAAGCTAGATAATTTCATGGAGGTTAGGTCCATAAAAGGCTATTAGCCAGGGGATAAAATGGTGTCCTTGGCCTCTGACAAACAGAGGCTGGAGAGAGATGGCAGGAGACAAATAGCTTGATCATTGTCTTCAGTCCACCCTCTCTGGGGCACCTGGTGTTGGCCACTGTCGGCAGACAGGATACTGGGCTAGAAGGACCTTTGGTCTGACCCAGTACGGCCGTTCTTATGTTCTCCAGCTCTGTAGGTGGGTGGCAGGGAGGCTAGAGCGCAGAGCGGGCTCCCCAATACAGGGGGATACCTGAGTCTTAGGGGCCAGATCCAAGCAAGCTGGGGGCTGCATCTAGTCCCTGGGCCTGAGGTTCCCCCACCCCTGCCTTAGAATATGCTTAAGAACTTTGGCAGGACGACTACTAATCAGAAATACCTGTTCAAGCTCAGAGACTGCGAATACCACCTTCTCCAGGGTTTCTCCATGAATTTCCAGGAACCTTCTGACTGTGCCTGCCAGCAAGAGAATTAAATACATTGAGCAAACAGGGTGACAGAGCTACAACCTCAGCTACAGTCAGGGACACTTGCTAGCTATAGGCAAATACAAAAGATGCTGCCCCTGCTCCTGCAAGAGGGGAAAGGTCCCCATCCCACAGGCAGCACCCTAATGAGTAGCGAAGAGCCCCACACACTGTGGAGTGGGAACACAAAGAAAGACAGTTTGCCAGACATCAAGAATACCCATAATTACAGAATCACAGAAATGTAGAGCAGGGAGAAACCTTGAGAAGTCATCAAGCCCAGCTCTCCATACTAAGCAGGATCAAGCAAACCTCGACCAAACCTGACTTTTATCCAAACTGGTTCTTAAACATCTGAAGAGATGGGCATTCCCACCACCTCCCTTGGAAGCCTATTCTAGAACTGAACTACTCTTATACTTAGATTTTCCCAATATCTCACCTAAACCTCCCATGCTGCAGACTGAGGATTCCTTTTTGTCCTATCTGCAGTGGATCACAGTCTTTTTATAACAGCCTGAACATGTCTGAAGCCTCCTATCAGGTTCCCCCTTGTCTTTTCTTCTCAAAATTAAATACGCCCAGTTTTTAAACCTTTCCTCATAGGTCAGGGTTCCTAGTCTTTTTATCAATTGTGTTGTTCTCTCCTGGACTGTCTCTAATTTGTCCACATATTCCCTGAAGCACGGTGTCCAGAGCTGCATTTAGTACTCCAGCTGAGGCTCACCAAAGTTGAATAGCAGGGGCCAGTAACCTTCTGCATCTTATATACAAAACTGCTGTTACTACACACCAAAATGGTATTAGCCTAAACCTGTGACAGTCATTTTATTCCTCATGGGATTTCTCAAAGGCTATCTTTCTCTCAGCCCACTTATTCTTGCAGTGAGTACAATAGCTCAGACAAGAATGTCCTGCTTCTCACCTCCATTTTCCAAACATCCAGTGAAAGCTTTCTACTTCAACCCTCTGACTGTGTCCCACTCATATTTAAATCCCTTTAAATACAGTGTTAGTTTACTAATTTCATGCCTCTGGAATTCACTTGTAAGGTTCTGCAACATTTTTCTCCTGCTG